TCGTCATGCAGGTCAGCTACCTTTCTCTCTTTCTTTTTTGTATGCGTTCCTTCTTCGTCAAATTTATTTTCAGTTTATTTTTTTCGTGATTTTTTTTGTAGTGTGTGTGCGCGCGCATGTGTTCATAAAATATTACTAAATTAGAGGTCCGATCATGGTGAGCCACGCTCTAATTTTTGATGTTTAGCAGAAGTGCAACTACGCTATTTTTAGCCATGCAAGCAGTATCAGTAGTTTCCTCGTCACGTCTAGTTTCTTATCTTTAGACTTAGAGAAGTACAGGAACACTAACTGTAATGCATGATACTAGTAAACACTTTTGTGAGATCCGTGCGCGCGTGCAGTGTGTGTGTGTGTGTGTGTGTGTGTGTGTGTGTGTTTTTCTCCCTCAGTCATCTTTTATCTTTTTCTCTCTTTTTTCTTTCTTTTTTTCTCCGCAAGGACGCGGCATTCTTTTCATGGACGGGTGGTATGTTAGGCCCACAAGTAATTACATGTAATTCATATTCATTAGTTCATGCATTATTCATTTGGCCTGGGTAGCTACTTGCGCGCCCATGTTTGCCATAGCTACCCAGGCCCTTTATATTGCGTTGCTCTCTCTTCAACTCTCTCTCTTCAATAAGCTCTCTTGAATTATCTCCCTCTTCAATAATCACCATGCAGTCGTTTCGTTCGTCTTGGTCTCTTGTCCCGTTTCTAATAAATGTCGTTCCACCAACCTACTTGTTCCCGTTGTCAGTCTCTTGTTCGGCTACCCAGGCCAAATGAATAATTCATGAACTAATGAATTATATGAATTAATATATTGTAATTACTTGTGGGCCTAACATACCACCCCTCCATGAAAAAAGAATCCCGCGTCCTCGCGGAGAAAAAAAGAAAAGAGAACGACATCTTTTTAAGGAAAATAGTTTTAAAAAACATTAGTAAACCCAATCATAAATGTAATGTAATGTAATGTAATGTAACCCAATCATAAATGTAATCGACATTTAAGACATGCATAAAATGTTGTAAATCTTGAGGCAATGTGATCTAAGAAGAACGACAAAGACAACGACGAGGAAACGACAGGCACCCGGAAGACAACATCTTCCGAAGCGCCTGCCCGCACACGCAACACCAAGGAGAAAGGACAATGACAAAGAAACGACAGGCATCCCGGAAGACAACAACTTCCGAAGCGCCTGCCCGCTCACACAACACCAAGGAGAAAGGACAACGACAAAGAAACGACAGGCACCCCGGAAGACAACAACTTCCGAAGCGCCTGCCCGCACACTCAACACGTTCACACATATACTCAAAACAACAAGGACGGCACTACACAAGAACAGGCGAAAACCAGGCGAAAACCGTCGAGGTGCAAAGAATCGAGTAATCCTTCATTAACAAGACAAATCCTCAGTTGCACACTCGCTCTGAAAGAGTGGGCGTGCTGGAAACATCATTGGGACAAACGGACCAAGACCCACAAGACACAGCTCGTAGTAGCTCGTCCCAATTCGAATTCTCTTCATTCACGAAAATCTTCAAAATATTCTGGATCGTGCGATTTGCTCTCTCAACAACACCATCGCCTTGCGGATGATACGGAGTCGGTCATGATTTGTCGATGTCGAGGCGCAGGCATAACTCGCGAAACAATAAAGATTCGAACTGCTTCCCCTGATCAGTGTGAATGCGCTCAGGTAAACCATGGCGAGACACAAACTCTTTGACAAAACACTGGGCGACCGTACATGCACGTATATCTGGCAAGGGATAACATTTGGTCCATTTTGAAAAATGATCAACCACCACGAGAATGTATGCATTCTGTGACGATGAGAGTGGCAGTGGACCCATTAGGTCCATCGCCACTAGTTCGAGTGGTTTAGAAGACGACAAAGTTTGTAAGGGTGCATGATCGACCGGATTCTTCGCTTTCGAACGCTGACACTCGGTACACGTGCGGCAAAATTCGTCGATCTCAGCGCGAAACCTAATCCAAAAATACTTTTTGGCGACTAATGCAATTGTGCGCCTTGTAGCAAAGTGGCCGGTGACCGCAGTCGAATGTGCTTCACGAATAATGGGAGTACAAAACGCGTTAGGGACAACCAACTGACTGGCGTTAATTTGAACTCTTCGATAAATCAAACCATTGTTGACAAAAAGTTTACCTTTTTCGTTCCAGAGAGCGTGTGCGCCTGGACGAGTTGGTTGCTTGCGATTGTCGCTTGTGACCGGTTTTTGATTTCTTTGAGATCAAGATCATTATCAGTAGCTTCTTGCCATTCCTTACATGCCTCATCACTGCCTAGAAAATGGAGCGAGTTAACCGCGGGCGACGCGTCATCGACTGGATATCTTGAAAGACCATCTGCGTTTCCGTGTTGTGCGCCCGGGCGGTGTATCCAGACATAATCGTATTCTGACAAATGTGATCCAGCGTGCAACTTGTCCTCGTGGGTTTTTGAAAGTTTTTAGCCATTTTAACGCTTGGTGATCACAACGAATTCGAAACTGCGCATGCAAAAGATAGACTCGAAAATGCTCTGTCGCCCATACTACTGCGAGAAGTTCTTGGCGAGTTGTGCTGTAATTTCGTTCCGGATCCGATAAACTACGACTAGCGAAAGCAATAGGTCGCTCTACTCCATCATCATCGAGCTGCGAAAGAACTGCGCCAAGTCCAGAATTCGATGCGTCTGTATCTAATATAAAAGGGCGGCTCCAGTTCGGATACGGCAAAACAGGCGCAGTCGCAAGTTCGGATCGCAGTTTCGTAAATGTGTCTAACTGTTCTTTACCCCACTGAAAAATTTGACCCTTCTTAGACAATTTCGTCAAAGGTTCAGCAATGCGAGCGAAATTTCGGATGAAGCGGCGATAATAATTCGCGAACCCGACAAAACCCTGTACGTGTTTGATTGTCTTCGGGATCGGCCAATCAGAAACTTGCTCTACTTTCTTTGCGCTTGGTGTAACCCCTTCTTGCGAAATGCAATGTCCCAGAAATGAAACGTCTGTGCGGAGCAAATTGCATTTCCTAGGTTTAATCTTGAGACCTGCGCTCTCGAGAACCTTCAAAACCGCTAAAAGATTTTCCGCATGTTCTGCTTGTGTGCGACCAAAAACAATGATGTCCTCAAGATAGATTCAACACTTAACATACAAAAGACCTTTAAGAACTGTATACATTAATTGTTGAAACGTAGCGGGTGCGTTAGTAGTATTGACATTTCCGCGGCAAGCCGCTTATGTACAACGGCATGGGAGAGGATAACAAAAAATGAAAATATAATGTTGCGGGTGCGTTAGTGAGTCCAAAAGGCATTCTGCGAAACTGGTATAGACCGTGTGGTGTAACGAACGCAGTTTTTTCTCGATCTTCAGGCGCTTCCGAAACTTGCCAATAACCAGATTGCAGTTCCAATGTCGAAAAGTATTTTGCGCCATGCAACGCATCGAGTGTGTCATCAATGCGCGGTAAAGGAAAGCGTCTTTTCGGGTTACGTTATTCAATTTCCGACAATCTACGCAGAATCGTGTCCCACCTCCGTCCTTTTTCGCTAAAACAATTGGACTGGCCCATGGTGAAGAACTTGGTTCGATTATCTGCTGCTCTAACATCTCATCTACTAATTTACGCGTAAGGTTCGCTTTCTCAGGTGTTAATCGACGGGCGTTGTGGCGGATCGGACGATTGTCAGTAAGTGTAATTGTGTGATGTATTTCATCTGTCTTTCCAACGTCACTGTCATCCACCGCAATTATCGATCGCATGCTTAACAAAAGTCGTTGTAAATGCTTAATCGCAGCGCTATCCCCCACACAACCAGACCAATTAAACTTATTAAGCAAACTCTTATCTTCTACCGGAATACTCTCGTCAAGCTTTGGGAATAGAGGTGACGAGGAGGAGATGTGATGTTTTGGAATTACGGAACTCTTCGAACGCAACGGAAACGATTTTCGATACGCGGTAAGTGTGTGGTCGGACTCGAATGAAACGCACATGCCATGGCCAGTCAACGTGTTTACACCAATAATCACCTCTTCCTGTACGCCCTCCACTACCAAAGCTTTAGTCTTCACTACTGTCGAATGGTCGAATGCGGTAAAGACCTGCGCGACCCCATGTACTTTAATTTAAGACCCCGTCGCGCTTTGGAGTGTGTCTATACCAACTGTGGAGTGAGGCGCGAGTGTAGATATCGGTGCAAATGTTTCAAATACATCTTTTCGAATAACCGTGAATGCTGCCCCCGTGTCCACCAGAGCTGGTACCCCTGCTGCCTTGCCTTTTTGTCGTCTGGAAATGTTTACTTGCAAATGGCAGCCTTTCGTCCAGTATCAACGAACGCAGTGGGTAGTTTGGGTGAACACAGGGGAGATAACCCCCCTCACTAGAAAAATCACGAACCCTAGTAAACGCAATATTAAGGCGATGCACAAGAAAGGAAATCGAAAAACAGTCAACGTAATCGACTTAACAGCACGAACTAGCATCGTAAGCAAGAGGATCGAGTAAGGCAACAACAGAGTGACAGCTGACGTAACAGTTTTAATGGCGTGAACAAGCATCGTGAAGAACAGGATCGAGTACGGTAACAACAGAGTGACGGTCGACTTGACAGAATTAACGGCCTGGAGGAACATCGTAAATAACAGGATCAAGTACGGCAATAACAGAGCGAAAGATTTAAATGTCGAGGCGAAAGTGTACGAATCCGTGGTGTCTGTCGATATCGGACTAGGAGTAGTAGTTGGCAGCCTCTCGTCAACCACTAAATGCGGTTCAAAGTACTACGCGAGTCGGAATGATCGCCAACGTGTTGCGAGTTTCGCGAACACTCCTTGATGTGGCAATCGCGTTCGATATGCCCTCGACGCTGGCAAACAAGATGAGTGTCGTTATAATTCGAACCAATGACGTACAGTATTTTCCACTTCTCACTTCCTACATACATATGCTTTTCTTTCTTTGCCTTCTTCTTTTGTTTCTGCAGCGCAACTTCCGACATTTCGCTTAAGATCAACGCAAGAAGTGTTTGATGTGAGTAGAAGAAGCAGCGTTCGGCCCTTATTCCAAATCGAACCAGGCTGAGTATGCGGCCTCATGCTGATGCGTACACCAGTCACCTGGTCACCATGCCCTCAGGCTACAACTTACAGCCTGTTTAGCGCGCGTTCCTGTCACTCGTGAGCCTTGGTGTGAAAGTTGAAACCTGCAGGCACGGTGACCAGGTGACTGGTGTACGCTTCAGTACGTGACCGCTTACTCAACCGTGTTCGATTGGGAATAAGGGTCGAACGCTGCATCGCAGCCTTCTCAGACCAAAACCAGTCGACTCAGCGTCCAAAAGACTACAATATATGGGCCAATATCGTTCAACTGTGCTTTTACAAGAACGAAATAGCTATTTTAGTGACATTTTGCATATAAACCCCCATCTGTAGTAGGGCGCAGTCACCCAGTTTCGGTGGAAGTGCGCGAGTTCGATTGGGAATAAAGGAGGAAGGGAGCGCCTCAGCTTCCTCGGACCGAGACCATTAAACTCAGCACCCTGAGGACTACGAGTAGTGAGCTTTTCATTCTAGACAATTCTTCCTCTCTAACAATACACAGATGAATGTCTATAATGCAGAGGTTTTGTTTTGTACTTGTTGTGTTCGTTCAGCGGCCATTCAAATTGAAAGGGTGGTTCACTGACACCGTGAAGAATTCATCCTTGGGGGAAGCAGACCACATCAAATTAGTTATGGCCTCGCAGACCAACAGAGACCGAGAGCCAGTTGAAGTTATGGCGACCTACGATGACGTGGTGGCTATAACATCCGAGCGGTGTGAATGGCGGAAACGTAAGAATGTTTAGATGCATTTACAGTCAACTTTGCGTAGAACGACACTCGGCGGGGCATCAAGAAAGGTCCTTATTTGTGAAGTGTCCTTATACCCGAAGTCCCATTGTAATATGTATTACCAAGAGTACATAAACCTCAGTGTGCAAGGGAGCGTAATTCGTGCAGTACGTCATTTCTGACGGCATGGTAAGCCACAGGTACGGTGAAAAGTTGCGTAACCACTCACGGTGGTGCAGGTCACTGATTTTGTCCTGATTTCGGTTTTTTGATACGGATAGCCTGGTGAATTTACCTGCCAGCGCATGTACGCAGCGTACGCAGTCACACAACAACACCGAAATCCTAAATCAGGACGTCTAAATCATGCAAACTTGGCTGATTTCCGGACTGTGAAACACGAAAATTTGAGCTGTACGAAAGTCGCAGCTTGGCTGACCTCGTCAGGGTGACGTAGCGCACGATCTGCGCTGTTTCAGATCTGATATGCACAGTTGCACACTCTGGTTTATGTACTCTTATTATTACAGTTAAATGGGACTTTGCTCTGGGCATGAAAACTCTGTCGTTTTTCGCGAATTGTCGTTATATCCGCAGTCGTTATTGACGAAGTCGACTATAAAACCCTAAACTGTTTTTCAGGTATCAAGGTGTGTAGAGGTACTGCTTTGGCATTTACTTATCCCGATGTTACTGGCCTTTTCTCCACTTGTAAGGTAATTGTTAATTATCAATGCAGTGAACGTGCAGATCACCACAACGCCTGCGTGCGCATGTGAAGGCACCCACAGAAACAAACAGCTGCACCCACCCATACCTGCAAACTCGCATGCGCGTACTCTCTCTCTCTCTCTCTCTCTCTCTCTCACACACACACACACACACATACGCGGCCGCGCGTGAGCGCACACACACGCACACACACACACACACACACACACACACACACACACACACACACAGAAACGCACAAGCATACACGCCGACTCTTTCTCTCTCTCTCCTCTCTCTCTCTCTCCTCTCTCTCTCTCCTTTCTCTCTCTCTCTTTCTCTCTCTCTCTCTCTCTCTCTCTCTCTCTCTCTCTCTCTCTTCATCTCATTACAAAAAATCCTGCGCATTTATCTCCATCTGCGCATAAATCTAGACTGACAACCTGCTTGTTAAACCATGCACCTGCTTTCAGGCGTAAAACCCTGCCTGTTGTAGAGGTCTCAGTCCTCATTTGTTAGACTTACCTGTCTTTATAAATGTAACTTACTCTCTCCTTCTCCTCCTGCTATTCCTCCTCCTCCTCTTCCTCCTCCTCCTCCTCCTTCTTGGACATTACCTTACAACAGCTTTACATCTGCCTTGTATTGTCTGGTACTTCTGCATATTGATTTATCTTATCAAACTTCCATGTTGTCCTTGCACCAGGTGGCCTTCCTGAAGAAACCAGCGAGATGGTGGACGTGTGTCTAGTATGGGGAGATGGTCACTCACGTGTAAAGCTGCATGAGGTCCTGTTCGTGGATGCTAGTCTCAACGATGAGGCGTCACCTACTGCACCGATGCTGCCGGACCTGGGTTCTCGCTGTACTGTAAGTGTACAAATGATGGCATCATGTCACTGTCCCACATGCAGGGGCGTCGGAAGGTAAATTAGTGTGGTACGGTCAGCCACCTGAAGTACAATTTACTCGTGGGGAAGGGGTGGGTGAGCCGAACATTTTGGAAATTTAGAGCCCAAATCAGTGCATTTTATTGATTCACGGGGTACATGGGTCACATAGTGGTACGGTCAATACCGTAGTGACCGTACCGTGTGCGACGCCCCTGCACATGTACATGTCACAAAGCTATCCAATAGTACGAAACATGTACATTCAATCACATTCCATGGATTTCTTCCCCACGTATCTCAGTTTCTACAATCATCGGTCATGTTAATTAGTACATCCTCGCCCAAAATATATTTTGGAGCGTATCATGCTGTTCTTCGTCATGTTCTGGCTGCTCACTGACGACAGGTGCTTCCGCGTGTGGCGGAATGTTAGTCGCTCCGAACTGGACTTGCAACGACTTGATCACTCCCACTTTTTTTAACAGGCGTCGCAAAAAGGCTTCCTCTCCTATCCCCCCCCCCCCTCTCTCTCTCTCTCTCTCCCTCTCTCTCTCTCCCCCCCCCCCTCTCTCTCTCATTCTCTCTTTCTCCCTCCCTCTCTCTCCCCCTCTCTTTCTCTCTCTCATTCTCTCTCTC